GGCTCGGTGACAGCGCCGGGCACGGCCCCCCGGGAGGGGTAAACACCGACAGAGTGCAGAACTTTCTGATTCAAGGAATTGGTTCGTCGTTAGAGATCGCTGTGTCGTTTTAATTCGAATGACAGAGTCTTTCAATCGCTCCTCGGCGGGGGTGGGTTGTGATTCTGGTCACATTGAAATACACGTTTCAGGTGTTCCGAGCACGGTCTGTTAAGGATTTTGGGAGTGCATTTTTCTTGGAACATGTCTATTAAAAATGCAGATTCTGAGGTAAATGCAGGATGTTGTCAACTATAGCAAGAGATGGTGGGTTTGGGCTACCTAGACTCAAAAGTTGTTGCCCAGCCCTCAGTACACGAGGGTGAGCATCATCTCCAGCAAACATGCCTGGGAGAGTGAACCACACAGGAGTGGGCCCTCCCACTGCTCAGCAAATGTGTGCCTGGAGCTTTGTGCCCCTGTCCTCTGTACAGGGTCAGTGGAATTTAGAGTCAGCTCCCACTAGGATATTCCTGCTGAAGAGAAGGGAGGGTACCTATTGCTGTTCAGGTTGGGACCGATTTTGCATTAGACAAGACAGCTCTAAGTGAATCTGTGCAATAAAGTCATCCTGACTAATGATCAGAATCAGCCCAGTCCCATTGCAGAAAAGGAGCAGAGAGAAGCACTTTAGTATTTCTTGCTGCCAAGTGAAAAAAACCAAACTGATTTAATTAACAGAACACTTCTTTTGGTTTTTTTTTTGGCCAAAACAAACATTTGGAAGTTTCATTTATTTTTTGTGTGTGTGAAAGCAAAGATAATAAAGGCCTTCATTTGCTGGGGAGTCTGTGGTCCCTGAGGAGCTCTGTCAGACAGTAAGAAACATCTTTCTGTCTGAGGAGACACCTCTGAGTTACCAGCTATTATGCTGTAGTGGGTGGCCAGCTAGTGTCCTGGGTGGCCAGTTGGTGGCCCAAGGAGAGAACCAGGCAGTTCTAACTGGCCACTGGAAACACTACCATGTGCTGGGTGGAACCAGCCTAGGGCTGTTGCTGAGCTGGAGCTAATGAACAGCTTTATGGGAACAAGATGCTTGGAAACTGGGCTGGCTCTCCAAGGAGCTGCCTCCTGCTGTGCTGGGGCTGTCACCCACTCACCTCCTCCTGCTATACTGGGGCTGTCACCCACTCACAGGACACCAACCTGTGTGGGGAGGAGTGGAGCAGCTGCCTTTGTGTCACACGGGGTCCAAGAAATTAGAGACCTACCTGCCTCCCCACCTTCTTGGCCTCTCCCAATTACCACGTCCTTTACCTCACCCTTCTTGAGAGTCCCCTCTGTACATCTCATACCTGCTGCCTTTAAATCTCACAGTGTTTGCTGAAGGATGCCCCATAGCACCTGTCACTGTCCAGGGTGTCATCCTGACAACTGGCAATAGGCATCCAGCCTCCAAATAATTAGGGGGAAAAACTAGTTTCAAGCCTCAACTATTAGCACTGCTGTGAATCTGTGCTGCAGTACAGTTAGTGCTACCTGCTTTCATTGGAGCAGGACAGGAATCCAGGCGTCATCCCTCCCAGGTGATCATGCCAGAAAATAGCACATCTCACTCAAGAAATAGTTATTTAATACAAAACAGATCAGTTGCAGTGGGAAAGAATTGAGGGAGATCTGTTCTAGCAGGGCTAGAATGCTTGCTTGAGAGGTGTGACACTGATTTATCTTGTGTGCCCTTATCCATGTACTGCCCAGCTAAAACACTCCATTAAAATTTGGTTTAATGGAACAAATAATTTGTCCATTGAATCATAGGGAAATTTGATAGAGATCAGCAGGGGATGTTAAAGCAATATTAAATAGTTTCAATAGCATACAGAGAAGTAGCACATGGAACCTGGTGATGTGAAGAAACTTGTTACATGTCAGGTGGGGTGCCCTTGGGGGCAAGAGTCACCCCTTCCTCCGTAGTATCTCATGAAACACAAAAAGCAGATCATGAAAATGGTGTGGGTTACTTAACTGGACTGTCCAGGTGAACTTAGCAAGCACTGTAATGTGTTGAAACAGAGGGGACAACAGGGCATTCTGTCTGACTTTGAAAAGGTGCCAAAAATCTAGTCAGAGGGAACCTAAGAGAGCTGCATACTATTTGTGGGCTGCAGAAGTTCAGTATTTTAAAATAAAGTGCAGACAGGAGGAGGATACGCTTACAGCTTGACTAAAAACGTCTGTGCAATTACACGTGCACAGCTGCTACAACTGGCCCTGCCAGTCTGGTGTCTGTGCACAGTAACATCTTGTTAGCTGTGCATTCAGTTCAACTGCTGAACCAAAGTGCTTATTCAGTCAGAGTCTGAGACTGAAACGGGGTTTGTAGAAGTTGCTTAAAGAGTTGAAATCGGGACAATACTAAATTCAAAGGTATTGGGTGATATGTATCTAGATTCAGCTATACAGATGTCAGAAAGAGTTGATGGTCTCTTTCTGCCCTGCAATAGGAAAATGAAAAGATTTCTTGACAGGAGGGGCGTGGGTGTACTCATACATCTTCACTTAACAAGTGAGAAGACTTCTGGGTGACAGAGAATGTTAATTTTGAGTAACATTTAAGCCAATCTTACAGGGCTTTTCCATGAATGTTACTGAACCACATTCTGGAGCTGCATCTCATTCTGGCTCCTTCATCATGGAAGAAAATACACAGTTAAAGTACACAGTCGAATTTTAACCTGTTTGTTTAACCTTGTTTGACTGGGCACCGAGTACTTTTCACTGGAGCCATAGGCAGGTGTGTCAGGAGCTTAGGACCATCCTGTCACCCTTCCCTCTTCTCTCCCAGTCCTTGAAGAAGTCATCCTGTGAGATGGGAAGAGAAGGGGACAGGCTGCTAGCCTTGCCAGGGCCATGTCCCTGCAGCAGCTCTGGTGGAGTCCTCCTTGTGCCACCAGTAGGGCCGGGAGCAGGCTGACACAGCAGGGGAAGGACATGAGTCAGGTGAGAGGATGTCTTGCTCATCCAGCCAGTTTGTCTGCTGGAGAGTGGACAATGACCAGTGCACAGGCTACAGCAGGAAACCATATTTGGTGGACGAGTCAGCTATGGCTGCTGTCTTTTCATGGGTGGCAACTGTGCCCTGTCTGTGTGGTGATTCTCACATCGCCATCACCCGGTGTTCCTGTCCCACCTGCTCGATACACAGTTACAGGCTTACCTTTGCTTGGGGTTGACTGTCACCCAGAGCCAGGCTTTGCAACGCACTACCTTTTTCCATAGATTTATTTTTCCACTCAATACTAGTAGACCTTAAACAGTCATCAGTTTGAACATCATCTTCAAAAGCAAGTGCTGTAAGACAGTTCAGGAAAGGTGGACAGGCCGAGCACCCTCGCTCCAGAGACCAAGGAGGACTTTGGGTGGGGATACGTCCAGAGGAACGGTCCGAAGAGGACAAGGATCAAGTACCCCTGTTGGTCAAGAGTCAGGCTGTTAATAGGTTTAAGCCACAGAAGGAAAACTCCAGTCTGAAAACTAAGAAAATTATATAACTGGAGGAAAAGTTAGACAGTGGAACATGTTGCCAAGACAGAGGTTGTGAAACGAGATATTTGAGGCTAGGCTAGACACCCATCCATCAGGGATGGCTTTGGAATAACAGAGAACAATTCAAACAGCTTGACTAGATGACCCAGTAATAGTCTCTTCCAATCCAAATACGTTTGAGAGGCTTCAGAAATGTAGTTGGCAGCTTGTCCACTTCCAGCACTGTTGTGATGTGTCACTGCCAGATACACATCACTGGCTTTAGCATGAGGTACCAATGGTACAAGATAGTAGCTGAAGCCAGCACCTTTAATAGCATTTGTTTTTCCATACTAGGTTCATCTTGCCTTTAATCCATGTGAAGATCTGTTGGAAATACCTTCAAGAAACACGAGAGTTTTCAGTCTCCTAATAAATCCTGTTGTGTCCAAGAACAGCCTGTCCAAATGAGCAAGACATCCCAACAGAACACCACTACAGATGCGAACGGCGTAAGTGTGATTCACACCCCAGCACACACCAGTGGTTTGCAGCAGGTTCCCCAGCTGGTGCCAGTTAGTCCTGGTGGTGGAGGCAAAGCTGTGCCTCCCAGCAAACAGGGAAAGAAAAATTCCTTTGTGGATAGAAACAGTGATGAGTATCGTCAGCGCAGAGAGCGAAACAACATGGCAGTGAAAAAGAGCCGGTTAAAAAGCAAGCAGAAAGCACAAGACACACTGCAGAGGGTCAACCAGCTCAAAGAAGAAAATGAACGTTTAGAGGCAAAAATTAAGCTCCTGACCAAGGAGCTGAGTGTACTGAAAGACTTGTTCCTCGAGCACGCACACAATTTTGCAGACAATGTGCAACCTGTTGGCACTGAAACCACCACAACAAACCCAGAGAGCAGTGGACAGTAGACACGGCAGCCTTGGGAAACTAACTCCTGAGGTGCAGCAACCAAGCAAAAACTGTTCCTTTAACCATTGTTTTGTGGAGATTTTTCTTCTTTTAGATTTAACACTGAAGATTTGTAACAATTAAACCAGAAACTGGTTAGGGTATTTGCTTTAAATATTTTTCTCCTCAAGGATTTACGCAGGTCTGAATTCGTAGCCAACAAGGGGCGTCGTATTAAGGAGACAACATTTTCACAGAAATGTTTGCTTACCATCTTAAGAGTTTGCATAATGGGAGGAATCTAGCAGGATGGCTCACTGTAGTACCAGAAACTCATCATTGGATAAAATGTCCTTTAAATACCTGTTAGAGTATTTAAGCACTTAGTTTTCTCCATGACATACTGCAAAGTGCAAAGACCGTGGAGGGTGTTTGCTTTCCCATGTGGTGGACTACTTTAAATCTGTAGAGCAAGTCCTATAAGGCACCATGTGGGTCCTTCCTGCCCAGTTAGTGGGGAGGGTGCAGTAGTAGTGAGCTGGGATGCTTACTGATGTTTTCTAGAGAAATAACAATATACTATGATGATATGTACAGGTAGTTGGCTTCCAAACGCTCCTGAGTCCGAAGCATCACATGCAAGAGGCAAAGCAGCACACTGACAAAGCCTTTTAGTTAAGCTTGGGTTCACATTGTTCACATAGTGACTGGGGCCTTAGGAGAACAAGAGTTTGTTTTCAGAAAATGTCAAAATGCTACCAAAAAACTGCACCCTGCAAAATTTCATTCTTGCTGGGGTGGAGGTTTCGGGGAGAACAAAATGTGCAGCCTGGCCAAGCAGCATCTGTTCAGCCAGAATGTATGGATCACTGCTTAATCTTACAGAAATTCACCGTGATTTAAACCTAAATGGCCCCAGTATGACTGATTCAGTGGAATTTCTACAGCCATCATACAGTTGTGTGAAGGAATATCTTCAGTCTTGTTTTATTTTCATAAAGGTTTTTCTATAGTAACTTTTTTATTGCTACTGCTAAGTCTTTGCTATGATCCATAATGCAGTGGTATGTGCTATACTGAGGATTTAAACAAAGTAAAGCAGGAACTTTGATGTAACTTTAATTTATTTTCATTTCTAAATATTTCATTGATGGTATGGTTGTTTTACATTTAACCTGTGTGTCTCGTGAGTAGATTACCACACTGTCTTAATTTCCCTCTTGCACTACCTTTTTCCATAGATTATTTTGTAGGATGCTTGTTTGCTTTGTACTTAGGAAAAAACTTGGATGTTATCTCTATGAAGATGCCGTTAGGAAATGAAACCTTGAAAAGTTCTTTTTGAATTTAAACTTTTAATACATGTGGAAAACTTAAGGATTGGTTTGGATTATGATAGTCTTTTTACAAAGATATGTTTTTTTCATTCTAGCTGCAGCTTAAGTTGGTAGGGTTGAAGTACCAGAAGCTAATAAAAACCTTTTGCTTCTAGTGCTGGCCTCATTTTTCCTTTTCCTTTTCTATTTCCCTCAAGTGCAGAGTTGCTCACCTCACACAGAAAATCAGTGCAACAGTCTCTGTTCCTGTCTTGCACTCAGATTCCTGCTCCATGGAAACAATCAGAAACTCATTACAGTTTTGTCTGAATGTCTGATTTAACAAAAAAGAAAAAAAAGAAGAAATTTAAGACTGAAAATGTGCTGCAATTAAAAGGGAGGGGGAGGGACAGAACATCAAAAACTACAAGGAAGATGATGATCTGAAAGCATCTGCTTTGTTAACTGTGCACCTCCTCTGGTAGAAAGGCCAGAGCTGGTCTCCCCGGCTGTCTGCTCTGTGAATTGGGACTGTGTAGCCCTGTTGTCCTGAAGTTGGTTTGCCAGGCCAGTGTGGGGTCCTCCCCTAACAGTCAGAACTCCACATCTCTCAGATTTGATTCAGATTTTGGTGAAGAGGATTTCTTAGATCTCTTTTGAGTTGGAGTAATATTCTTTCTGGACAGGGACTTCTCCACCTGTTACTCCTGAGAGCTCTGATTCCACTTCCTTCTTGTTTAAAACCAAACCACAGAGTTATGAAAAGTCATTTGTTTGCAAAATGACATTTCTGGCTCAGTAGCCTCTGCTCTAGCTTTGTTTGCTGATGTCATGGTTTAAACCCAGCTGGAAATTAAGCCCCACACTCCCCTCCCCAGGTGAGAGACAAAAGGCTCTCCCAGGTTGGGATAACAATTTACTGGAAACAGCAATGAGATAAGAAAAGGAGCAGTACCAGCAACACCAGCCAGGACAGCAGTGTAAAACAGAGGTGGTACCAGCCAGAGGCTCACGGTGTCCAACCCAACACCAGTTTATGACTGAGCCAAAACAGCTCCGAGGAGCAAACGCACTTTGCCCCAAGGTGCAGTGACAGCAAAGGGCCTCAGTCTCACCCCTCTGCTGCAAGGCACAGAACACCCACACCCAGGGGACTTGCACAGTTCTCTCTTCCTAAAGAAATAAATACATCTACATAAGAAAATTTCAGCGTGGACCTATAAAAGTTAAGGTTTTCCTCTTGACACATTGTTTTTAACTACAGTCTGTGACAGAATACAGTGCCTGTCACTACAAGAACGGGTGTTACAGCACCAAGAAACCTTATTTCCATTTTCTCACTGTGCCACCATGGGAAGGGGTCTGCTCTAGCCCCCACGAGCACTGGGAGCTCTACCCCTTTAACTACACCCTGTAGCTGCAGCAGTGTAACTCGTGGCAGGTAAGTCCAGATGTGCCCAACCCCACTGAGCTGAAGCAATCAGCTGAACTGATTTACATGTATCAGTTCAGAAGTGCTGAGACCTTTATAACAAACTTGCTCAGCATAACACCCTTTCTGTTATTTTGGTGCCACTCTACTCAAGTCTGGTTTGCACCAAGGGAGAAGGCATCTGGGAAAACATGATAGTGACAGCATAAAATATCATAACACTGCAAAAAAAATGTTGCCATAACTGGTATTTTCACCCCACTAATACATTTCAAATGTTATTAAATATCACTTTGCCTTTTTTGGTAACGGTTTATTCCCCCCCCTTTTTAGAAAAAACGTCTAATTCACTTTTTGCTGAAGTGGATAAAAATTACCATAATTACAGAAAGACTTCTGGAAGGAAGGATGAAATTTATATCCACCAAGTTCGTGGGCCTGATTATGAAGGAAAATGGGAGAGGGTGCACCATCCCAGAGCGAAACTCATGCCCATCTGTGGCAGGCAGAACTCAGGAGCTGGTTACTGAGGCAGTGCTGCCCCCGGCCCGGGGCTGTGTGCTGGAACATGTGGAGGCAGAACCGGTTGTGGCTCCTGCAGCTCCCCGGGTTGTTCGACCTGTTCTGCAGCAGCAGAGCCCGCGTTGGCCAAGATTAATCACAGGCAGGGAAAGGCCTGTTAACTAGACTGGGGTTATGGCTCAGTTGAAACAATTCCAAAGCTCCCTTTTTTTGAAAATCTGTGAAGTGTTACTATAAAATAGTAACTGCTCTTGAAGCCAAGCAGGAGCAGGTTTCGGAATGCCCAAAGCAGTGAGCCATCCCTGGGTGTGTTCAGAGCATGGCTGTGGAGGGAAGAAGGCCGAGCCCCTGAGCACTGTCTTGCACTGAAGAAAACTGAGTTTTAGGGCAATGCCAGAGCAATGCCAGTGCAGTCTCTGTGGTCTCGTACCTGCAAGGCTACCAAAGCAAAGCCTGATGTCCTCTGTGCAGGTGCTACATTTCAATTCAAGAGTTTCTGCACTTACCTCCTACAAATCAATGCCAAGAAACCTCTAAAAAAAATGTAAATAGGCTTATTTGTTAGCTGAGTGACACTAAACATAAGGGGTGAAGTCCTCTGGCTTATTTCACAATATGTTTCTTTGGTCTCCAACACACAGTTTCCTATTCAGCAATGGGTCACCAAGGTGTTACAAATAAAGAGCAGGTTCTTGTCACACAGATCAACCCAATTAGCAAAAAGAGCTCTCTATAGAACAACACATTTGACAATTTTAAAGCAAATTATTTCAGACCTAAATTCAGTCTGGGGTGGGGGGAGCCACAAAGGCAGCAACACAGTAGTTTCTGACACCATCCCAGCTTTGTGCACCCCATGTGAGACAGGCACTTGCAGGCACCCAGAAGCTCAGGGTTGGCCCCATCACCCATGTGCCAGCTCCCTGGAGTGAGCAGCAGAACTGAGATGTCTCACCCAGATGCTGAGATGATCAAGGGAGCTGATCCCTTCAGTGGGAAAATCCTCGTCGGGCAAGCAGTAACACCCAGAAAGGCCCTGACACTGCTGTGGCTTCAGTTCCCTCCTGACATGACAGAGGGATGTTCTGAAGTGGCTTTGCAGTCAAACTGTGCCTTGAAGACTGAGCAGGAGTTTCTCAAAAAGTAAGATTAGTTTTATGTAGTTACAGCAACTACATTTTATGATGCAAGAAATGTATTTGTTCTCCTGCAGGTTGATGAGTACCTACAATAAAGAAAGGCTTCTCTGCGTAATTTAAAGTAATTTAAATCTTGCATGAATGGAAAATAATTTTGATCACTATTAATATGTTTGTAATGTATCCAAATAAAATTTATATTATTTAATTCTGAACCAGCTAACACTGAACAGTTAAAAATAACTCTATCATGCTGCACAGCATATGCTGCTGAATGACCCTGAGCCCTGCAGCAAAGATATTCCCTTCTTGCAATTTCTAAGGGTCATGAACACCACAGCAATCTATGTTTTCAAGAAACAAATGAATGGACAAATCTAATAAGCATAGGGCTGTGTGTGAAGGATCAGTACACCCACTACCCAGAGCAGAAAACTCTGGCTAGTGAAGGGTCAAAGTTTGCAGAGCACAAATTGGTAGTAGGGTCAGATAAAGAAGCAGGAACTGGAGCAGAAGAGCATAATCATCACAAAGTTGTCAACATAAATGATGCCAAAGTGAATTTTAATAAAAGTTTGATTCTGTTTACTCCATGGATACTGAAATAAGATCTGTAAGAAAAACAGTGCCATTATGTCCACTGAGAACAACTGATTTTTTCTTCTGTTTTTCACAGTGCTTGTGATGAAATTTAAAGAAGTGTTACAATTGCTGACAGCTTTCAGATAATCCATTTGGTATTTCAGAGTCCCAATCATCAAAATTCAGATTTAATTGGAAGAAACATCTGAGCTGAGATCTGACAGAAGTATAAGTCCCAATGCAGTAGGGTTATTTAGGTGGCACTTGGTCATGTAAACTGCTGATTGCAAGCAGCAGCAGTGGAGTTACCTGGTATCAAGTGCTGAAGCCTTCTACCTTCGTTTTTAGTGAACGAATTATTCCAGGTAATTGCCTGCCTGCCTCTCTTGCTGTTAAGAATTGGATTCACTTTATTTTGTATGCTGCAGCATTGAATCAGAATGATGACTGATTATTTGAGGCAGCAAGTGTCATCCTGGAGCTTACTGCTTTTGGCTGGAGAGGCAGTCAAACGACTTGGCACTGCCTTGCCCTTCTGCCATGAAAGCCTCTATCTCCTCCACAGTGCGTGGGACACACGTGAGCAGCTCCACTCCCGTGGCTGTCACCGCGATGTCGTCCTCGATCCGGACCTGCCACAGAGAACACACGGTTACCAGGGCACTCCAGCTGGGAGGAGGGCACAGCAGGCAGCAGGAGCACAAGGGGTGCCCAGGCTGAGCAATGCACTGCAGGCACTGCCACTGCCTGGCACCACCAGCACCGTGGCACAGAGCTCTGCAGGCTCCAGCCCCGGGCCCTGCCACCCTCCTGGGGCCACCCGGGCTCGGTGGTGACCCCTCAGGTGTCCCAGGTGGTGCCTCTGCTGCATTGGGCACAGCAGGGACAGGCAGAGAGATGCTGCAACGTGGGGCCAATAAATCTCAACCCCCTGACATCAGGAGCAGTAAAAGGAACATTCTCCCCTGCATTTGCCTCCAGCCTTGCTAAGGACAGTGCCTCCTGATGCCCACAGTGCCTGTTCTCAAAGCTGTCCTGTTCTGCACTGCAGGGAGCTTCTCTTTGCACTTAAACATTTCTCTAAACACAATAAACTTTCAAAGGAGGAACTGCAACATGAAATAGCTTGTAGCTGATATTCCAAACATTGAATTTTGAGCCAATGAGAAAGTCCTAAGCAGGTCAGACATTCCTTTTAAAATACAACTACTGCATTTCAAATCATGGAAGGAAAAAGCAGATCTTCTCTGTTTCCCAGCTCTGGTTCTTGTTCTGAAAAGCGTGCTCCATTTCTGTTTGACTCTAATCTCTTCTTACCAGTAAATGTGCCTACACAGTCATTCCCGTTATCTTATCAGAAAAATGTTGCTAAGTCTCTAAGCTGCAATAAAAGCAATTTTAGTAAGGTGTAAATCCAAGAGAACACAAACCCTGGGTACTCCCACCTTACAGTTGCTTTAATTGTTTCTGACCTCTTGACATTTTCAACTAAAAATAAAG